CTGAGAAACCTAGGGGAGGTGAGGGGAGCACCTCGACACAGGGACTATTGTTGATGCTGGGTGCTGTGTCTGCCCTGTGTTCACCCTGTGCTATACCCATGGCTGTGTGGATCCCATGCCTTGAATTCTGCACTTTACTTCTCAATCTCAGGGTCTCAGATCCAAAACGACAGCTGTCACCCTGTGCAGTGCCCACTGTTATGGCGCGTCCCACACCCGGAATCCTGTACCTAGCTCTCAGTTCCAGAAGTGGTCTTGCCCCAGCCTTGTATTCTTATCCCTGTTTGCGTGTCCCAACCCCTCTCAGAGCCTGAGAGTGGTTTTGGGATCCCTAGCTTCCAACTATTAGGAAGTTGGTGATTTTGTTCTGATCACTAGGTGGCACCAGAGATCTCTTCTAATATCCTTTCAGAGCTGTGCTTTTTCCTGGTGGGTCTAGGGAACTGAGTTGTGGGGGGGGGGGTGGCGTGGAATGGCTCAGTGGCATGGGATGCTGTGCCTGCCCCTGTGCCCCACCATTGTGGGGATTCCACGGCCCAAATTTCATGCCCTGGGTCTCAGTTCCGAAGCCCTCAGATCCAGGATGCGGGCAGTAGCCCAGTTCAGTGTCTGCAGAAATGGTGCCTTTTGCACCCCACTCCCATGACCGGTGCCTAGTTTTGGATTACTCTGTGAGGGCCATTCACCTCAGTGACAGCTCCTATGTGTCTCCCCGCGAACCTAGGTTGTGGGCACAGGGACCTGGGCACCACGATTGCGTATACTTTCGAGCACTTGCGCTTTTCCACACAAGCTTACTGGCTGGCTTTGGGCTATTTGCAGGTCTCTCTGTGGAGTCCTTATCTTCCTCAGATGGTGCCTGGAGCTGTTCATTCACCTCTGTGGTGATTCCTGCATGGTTCTCCACAGTTCCTGATCCACGTGGTGTGGTGCCTGTAATAGTTCCTTTTCCCTCACAGTTCAGCTTGATCTGTAGTTTGTTGTTGTTGTTGTTGTTTTTCTTTCTGTTGGTAGGAGTGTACCAGTTTGGTGGGTGTGGGAGGGTAGCAGGGTTCTGAGTTTTCCTCTCTTTTTGTCCTCTTCAGGCAGTTTGCCAGAGACACCCATTATTTTCTGTGTCCTGGTTTTCTCAGGGACCTGCCACTTTTCCTCCCTATTAACATTTTTTTTTTAAATGGGAGGACTTACTCGCAGGATGCATTAATATACTTAACTCTCTTTCCATCCTTAAAAGACTATGAACACCTCATGGGCAAATAAAATTTGTTATCTATCTATCTACTTATTTATTTCTCATGCCTAGTATAGTCTCTGGCACATAATAGGGGATTTTTAAAAAGTTGGATGAATATATGTGTTTGCTTTTGCTACACAAAGTTAACTGTGGAAATGTAATTTGAAAATATTTATTAGATTGATAGAAACATACATTCATAACCTAAGAAATGGGTGGATCTGCAAAACAGATTCAGAATTCATAAGCTAACAGAAAAGTGTAAGGAAAGAAATACAGAGCACTGAGAACAAAATCTTGAAAAATGTTTACTTTAAAAGAAATAGAGGAGGGCCTCCCCGGTGGCGCAGCGGTTGAGCGCTGGGTTGCGAAGCTGCCCGCGGCCTCTGCGGCGCCGGTTCGATCCCCGGCTGCTCCCCGTCCGCCGGCGAGGGTCCCACATGGTGCGCAGACCTCTCCTGCCGCCCGCTGCTCCCCTTAGCAGTGTACCTCGGTCCTTCTGCCTGCTCTGCTCCCCGCTCTGGCTCTGGTGAATTCTCTCACCCTCCCGCGCTTCTGACTGTACCCAGTGCATGTATAAACAAAACAAACAAACAAACCAGCAAAACAAATAAATAAAGCATGCCTCTATAAAAAAAAAAAAAAAAAAAAGATAAAAGAAATAGAGGAAAAGAGGAGGTAAAAAAGAACATAGAAGAATAATAGATAAATTCCACAGAGTAGAGAAACAAGAGTATAAAATGAGTGAAAATAAGGAGTTTGGAAAGATGGTAACAGAGTGAAGATATTGAGATTAACTTCTATATACTTACTGCTAAATTGCAGCAAAACATTCACTCTGAAAGACAAACATATGACTATAGTACACAATAGGAACAACAATCAGTATCAAAAGGGTGAGATAAACTCCAATTGAACTGGGTGTACAGTGATAACAGGGTAGTACAAACCACTTGATGGAGGGGTGGCTATTGTATGGAGCCCTCTGAAAATTGTTGAACCAGGGACATGTACCCAAATCAGGTACTCTGGATATTTGGCATTTTGGGCATACACAAAATTGGCATTCAGGACATAAGGTGAACTGTTGGAGAACTATAGGAATAGGGGTGCAGAATGATGATTAGTGGCTTGAAATGAAGCTCTCAATATCGGACAGTTGAGTTAGAACCAGAAGGTTTCTCATAGAAGAGGCTACTACTTGCAACCCAAGGCTGGGACATTTAAAACATCTACTGCCATCCCAGCCTCCAACCCAGGGCCATATCCAAGACAATGAAACACTTTCACTAACCATGGTTTAAGCCCTTACTAACAATAGGAGAAAATCCCTCAACATAAAGTTTTGTACTGGAAAAGAAAAGAGAATAACTCTTGTCTTGTGACCCTTTTTATTTTTTTAAATGTATTTATTTATATTTTTTTTGCATCATTGCTCATTTTTGTACATTTGTTTTTGCTTCTCAGGTGTAGTCCCTGTAAAATTCCCACAACCAATTCATCCCTGCACCATCACTATAGTCCCTTGTGCTCTTCCCTCCCCTGTTTTGATTCTTCTCTCTTCCTCTCCCCTGTCTCTGATTTATAGTTGCTTGATAATTTCATTTATTTATTTTTTCTGATCCCTTATTTGATTTCCTTATATTCCTTCTATTAATGAAGCTATATGATATTTTTCTTTTTCCTTTTGGCTTATTTCACTGAGTATTACCCCTTCCAAATCTATCCATGTTGCTGTGACTGGCATGAGTTTATCCTTTTTGATTGTGACCCTTTTTAACTATAATCCATGCCTGACACTACATCTATAGTCTATGGTGGAAACTGGCATGAGACTGTAGAGAAAATTAAACTTAGGAGCTGTCTGACCCATCCAATTTTGGTGCCCACAATACAATGGTTTGAATCCTGGTGCTCACTGTGGGTGACTCATTAGTCCCTTATTAGTAACAGGTAGGTTTCCTCTACCATTACTCCTTGCTGGTACCAGTTTTTTGACCACTTCAACATGTGTAAAGGCAACATCTGAAAGTCTATCCTTATTACAGTCCACACAAATAAAACTGAAGAGTCAGAAGATCATGCCTCAAATGCAGGAATAAAAACGAAACAAACAACCTAAGATTCATCCAGCAGAACTGCACATTATGTCTAACATAATGTGTCAAGATAACATAATGTGTCAAGATAATTATGTCAAGATAACAATTATAACAATTGTAATTACAACAGGAACAGAATAAAGACCAAGAAGATATGAGATGGTTATAACCAGAATTAATGGATCTAATAATGAACTAAAAAAATATAACATAGGTCCTCTATTGCAGATAAATACAAACAATGGAAAGAATTAGTGAGCTCAAAAACACAATATCAGAGATTGCAGTAATAGAAAAACAAAGAAAAAAGGAAGAGTAGTAGTAGAAGAGTCCTTTGGGATAACCTATGAAGAGTCCTTTGGGATAACCTATGAGAAATAACATCTTTATCATAGAGGCTCCAGAAGGAGAAGAGAAAGAAAAAAAAACACAGAAAACTTACTTAAAGAAATGATTGCTGAGAACCATTCAATATGGGAAATAAACCACATGTTGTGGTCCAAGAGGCCCAAAGACTTCCAACCAAAACACCAGACAGACACACACCAAAACACACCATAATAAAACTGTTGAAAGTCAGTGTAAAAAACAGAGTACTATAAATATCAAGAGTAAAACGGGTAACCTATAAGGGAACACCAACAATATTATCAGCAGACATTTCAGCATAAACATCGCAAGCAAGAAGGGAACAGTAGGAGATATACATATATGTATATATATATATATATATATATATACATAAAAGGTTTATTTATTTATTTATACAAGCACTGGGTACAGTCAGAAGCGCAGGAGGGTGAGAGAATTCACCAGAGCCAGAGCAGGGAGCAGAACAGGCAGATTGACCAAGTACACTGCTGAGGGGAGCAGCGGGCACGGCAGAAGAGATCTGTCGCACATGTGTGACCTTTGCCGGGGGCCAGGGATCAAACCAGTGCTGCAGAGGCTGTGGGCAGCTTTGCAGCCCAGCACTCAACCCCTGAGCCACCCGAGAGGCCCAACATTAGGATATATTTAAAATACTTAAAGAAACAAGATTTCCAACCTAGCATCAAATAGAATGAAGTGTTAGGAGTTTTATTGAGTAGTTTAAAAAAAAAAAAGTTTGTCAACACCAAGACACACATGAAAGAATTGTTTAAAAGGGGGTAAGGCAACAGAAGAACAAAGAAAGAAGCAAGCTAAATTATACAACATGGAGGAGGAGCATAACAAAGTGACCCATCAGAACCAGAGGGAGTTTAACACCAGACCCATTCAACAGATCGCACAAATAGTCCATCATGTACTAACTTCAGCTGAACCTTCAAACAAAAATCAGTAGGAGTAGCGCATAAAAACAATGCAGATGAAACCAAAACAAAACATAAAATGAAAAGTTAAAAAACAGACGGACACAAAAAGCTAAAAAAATTAAAAATACTAATAGAAAGTAGTATTTATATTTCAATAATCACCTTAAATATAAGTGATCAGATTCATCAGTCAAAAGGTTTTGAGTAGTTGAGTTGATTTCAAAAGATAGTCTAACCTTCTGCTATTTACAAAAAAACCCATCCTACTAAGACAAGAACAAATTTAAAGGCTAGAAAATAATTCTACAAGCAAATGGCAATCAAAAATACTCAAGAACAGCTATACTTATATCAGATAAAATAGACTCACTTTGGCAGCACATATGCTAAAATTGGAACAATGCAGTGAAGATTAGCATTGTCCTTGTAAAGGATGACAGAAAAATTTGTGAAGAGTTTCATACTAAAAAAAATTATTTAAAAGGATAATGAGAGAGTTAGACATTACGATATCACTATGGACCTGATACAATGAGAAGTAACACTCACATATGTACTACTTCTGAATTACAAGATATACAAGCAAGTACTAACAGAAATTAAGAGACATATTGACAACAACACAAGCATACAAAATGATTTTTAATACTCTACTTACAACTATAGACAGATGAATGAGGTAGAGAATAAATAAGGAAACAAAAGCTTGAGATGAGGAGCTAAGCCAAATAGGTTTAGCAAATTATCTACAGAACATTCCACTCCAACTCCACTATGCACACATGGAGCATTTTCAAGAATAGACCATATGTTGGACAAAAGTCAATTGTGCTAAATCTATAAGTAGTAAAATTATACCAGGTATCCTCTCTGACCATGATGTCTGTGGTCATCTATAAAAAATAAAACAAAACAAAAAGGAAAAACTGAATACATGGATGTTAAATAAGATGCTGTTAAATGGTTACTGGATATAAGAAGAAAGTAAAATAAGATTCAAAAAATTTCTAGAGACAATGAAAATGAGGGTTAAGTCTGGAGTTGGGAAAATAAATAAGAATTTTAAGAACTATGGTGGAAGTGGAAGACAAATGTTTGAGCTTTTTGTGCTGATAACTACATACTAAATGATTGAATTGATTAATTAATAAACTACTGTAATCAAAGACCTAATAACAGCTCTTCTCTCCCAAGTAAACTTTGTCTTCAGACAATTTTTGACATAAAGGACCCATAAATATGTAGATAATTATATCTTTAAACACCTTTATTGAGCTATAGTTCGTATTCCATATATTTCTATCATTGAATGTGTATATTTAAATGGTTTTTTAGTATATTGATAGAATTGTATATCTATCACAACAATCTAATTTTACAATATTTTTATTGCACTGGAAAGAAACTCCATAGCCAACAGCTGTCACTGTCTATTTTCCCCAACCCCTCAGCCCTTTATAACCACAAATCTATTTTGTGTCTCTATGAAATTACCTATTGTAGACATTTTATATAAATGAAATCATACAATATTGTGTCTTGTGTTTGGTTTCAATTGTTTAGCAATATATTTTCAAGATTCATCAGTGCCATAACATGTACTACTTTCTTTACATTGCTGAATAAATGCTTTATTTTAAGGAATAACACATGTTGTTTATACATTCATTAATGGATGGGAATTTGGGTGCTTTGCAGTTTTAGATAAATAATGCCGCTGTGAAATCTGTGTACAGGATTTTTTGAGAACTTGTTTTCATTTGTCTTATGTATATAACGAAGAGTGGAATTGTTGAGTCAAATGGTGACTCTATCTTTAACTTTTTGAAGTACAGACTATTTTCCAAAGTGACTGTATCATTTTACATTCCCATAGCTTTATCAGAGTGTTCTGCATTTCTCCACATTCTTGCCTATATTTGTTATTTTTGACTTTTTGATTACAGCTTGCCTAGCGGATATATAGTAGTATATAGTGGGTTTTATTTACATTTTTCTGATGACTACTGATGTTGTACATTTTTTTGATGTGCTTATTTGCTATTTGCATACCTTCTTCGGAGAACTGTCTACCCAAATCCCTTGCTTATTTTAAAACTGTGTTATTTATTTTTGTATTATTGAGTTATGAGAGTGAAAATGATTCTTGTTTGTAAAGGAATTATTTCTGGAGTGTAACCCTTCTTGATAGTTCATTTTGATTGTTTCTAACTTTAATTATAAAGGGTATTAACAATGTTCCCCTATTTGAAATGAGATTTACAAATCCTATGGTTATCTACTAATTATGGTGGGAGTTTGAGGCATTCGGACTTCTTGGAAGAGGGAGAGGTTTTAAGGTGACCCTGTAATATACTACACAGATGGCTGTCTACTTGAGTGTGATCTTGGGAGCAGAGATAAGTATACATCCTAAATTGCACAGGAATTTATGATGTCATGAGAAACCAAGGCCATGATTTTTGAAGTTTGTTTCCCCATAAAGATACTTGACTACATAGTTCTGTGTTTATTATAAGGAGCTAAATGCTGAGCTACTCCATCCTTTCATGCATATTATATGTAATGCAGAGTCTGAAAATCTTATAGTTCAAAAATTGTACTCTAGCAATAGCATTTTAAATTCTACAGTTTCCAGAATGATGGCCCTGTCCATACAATGCATAGTTTTCTGTTCAAGTTTGCCTGGTATCAAAGTTGGAACATCTGTTTCTTTTGTTTATGCCAACAGATCTCACACGCATTTAGGCTTTCATAGAAAATGCTCATGCAAATGCCAGCCTGGTGTGGGCAATTAGTTATGTAAGCTACAAGCTAGCTCCATCTCTGTGTATTTATGGATAATCATTTCCATGCCACCTACAGGTCTCCCCGCTTTATCTTTTTATCTTCAGTGTGTAATTAAGCCTCTCTAGTGCATCCAGAACAATGTTTAGTGCTGTGAATGAGATTCTCAGAAGTGCTGAAAATATGTGTAATTTTAAAGTTCCTCAACCCCTCATTTAGTAGATTTGACTTGACAATGGATTTCAAAGGTTGCTCTTTAGTATTGAGGAATATATTTTAAAAAAGAGAAAGAGATTCAGCAGCTCTATGAATCCCTGCCAGAGTAGCACTTTTTGATGACGAACAAAATCCTAGGTTAACTATGTATTGTTTCCTTTCTGCCATAAGTGGAGATATCAGCTTTCCTATTACAAAACCTCAGGGCCTTCCAAAATATAAAGTCATTTGCAATGCAAACATTTTGATTTGTTCCACATTTAAATGGATAAGATACAATTAACTATCTCAGTTATCTCAGTTGAACATTTGCAAAGGTATCAGTAATTAAGTAAAACAGCATTTTATTAAACTGTAATTAGATATTTATCTAGAAAGATAGGCATGGAAATAATGGCTTGGTTTTGGAAATTTTGCAAAAATCTGCTAGACTTATAAATTAATTAAATCTATTTAATTTTAAAAGTGTAGTCATTTTCATTTTCATCATGAATTCTTTTCTTTGTTTAAACTATTCTTATGAATAGCTATGAAATCTTATGAAATCAGAGGTAGAAAGAGATTGAGGGAAAAGGAAAGAAGAGGGGAAAAGGAAAATGGAAAAAGGGAGAAGGAAGAAAGGAGAAAGTAGAGTAGAAATATTGGAGGGAAAGGATATCCGGAATGAACTCCACAACAAAGGTTTTATGGACTCTACCCCCACAGCAGACCAAAGAAATCCAAGACACCAAGCACTACAAATCCCACAATGTGTCACCATCAAAGGGAGGATTGCTGAGAACTGTGTGTGCTGGCAGTTGAGTCTCATTGTAAGTCCCTCAAGCACGTGGGCGAGGTCCCTCACTCAGGCCAACCCATTTCACTTTGGGATTGACCTTTAACAGAAAGATGCAAAACTTCTATGAATATATTCCCCAGGAAAGATCAGAAACCACTTTATGCTAAAATGTTTGTATCTTTGTATCTCTACAGAAATAATTCAGCACATGATATTTTTTGTTCTTGCTAACTTGAAGGGTGTTAAGGGACCATATATGGTTTCCCCTGGGCAGAGTGTGTAATCTTAACCATTTATCATCACGTTCTATCAATTTTCTCTTCTGCTCTCTTTCTTCACTTATTTTGGATCCATACTCCTACCCCAAGTTCCAATTTATTTTGGTAAATTCCCTCCTTTCCCCAGGAATTAAGGAAATTATTTACTAAAAAGTCATTTATAGGGCCTCCACGGTGGCGCAGCGGTTGAGCGCCGGGCTGCGAAGCTGCCCGCAGCCTCTGCAATGGTGGTTTGATCCCCGGCCACCAGCGAGGGTACCACATGGCACGCAGACCTCTCCTGAGGCGCCTGCTGCTCCCCTCAGCAGTGTATTTCTTCGTCAGTCTGCCTGCTCTGTTTCCAGCTCTGGCTCTGGTGAATTCTCTCACCCTCCCGCGCTTATGACTGTACCCAGTGCTTGTATAAATAAATAAATAAATAAATAAATAAATATTTAAAAAGTCATTTATATATTTGATTATTTGATTAAATTTTAATGACATTCATTCACATCTAAGTCAAAATATATTCATATATTTATATTTTATTTTATTTTTTTAAGATTTATTTATTTATTTATACAAGAACCGGGGTACAGGCCAGATTCGGGGGAGGGTGAGAGGATTCACCAGAGACAGAGCAGGAAACAGAACAGGCAGACTGACAAAGCATACTGCTGAGGGGAGCCGTGGGCGCGATAGGAGAGGTCTGCTGCGCCGTGTGGAACCCTCCCCGGCAGGCTGAGATCTTATCGGCACTGTGGAGGCTGTGGTCAGCTTCACAGCGCTGTGCTCAACTGCCTGTGCTCCCAGGGGAGGCCCTGTATTTATATTTTAATATTTAGTTAAAGAATGAAAGACTTTGGATGAAATAATTTTCAGTTTAGTAACTTGGTCCTTTACTTTCCTATGAATAAATATTGTAGGATCTAATTGAAAATTCTCCCCCCCGCACCCAAAAAAAAAAGCATAAAATAACACCTTAATTGGAATTATATTTTTAGGTCAATTAGGGAGAAATTGGCATTTTTAAAGATTAACATTTATGAATGATACAGGTATTTTCCTTGGCATTAGTTAGGCATTCTTTAATTTCCTTTTATATTTTGTTATTTTTAAAGCAGTATTCATCACACCTTTATTATAATTATCTCTATCAATACCCCCCCACCCCCACCCTGGGGGACTTTCTATTCTACATCCATTGTAGATAACTGAAATGCACACTAGATACATCTTCAAGAGACATTGCTATGAGGATTGAATGAAAGACTTCATCTGTCATACTTCCTGATCCACCTCACCTTATAGAGGCTGCCTTCTTCCTGCAAAACCACTGCTTCCAGTGAGTGAGTGAATTTGGACAGGATACTGGAGACAGGCTGTTTCTGGCTGATGCTGGGTTTCTTTCATGATACTCAATGTTTCCT